GCAAAGTGGTCCTTGAACCATGTGCGTGGTATTTATGCGGCAACACCTGCTTTCATATCGGAAAGCTTTATTCATAGGGAAGATTAAAACAAAAGAAAGCTATAGATTGAACAGAAAATAGGATGCTTTTGTGAGGGACGGAGAGGATGAGGCTTAATTGCAAAAATGAAAACGAAAAATTATTGAATAAAAGATAAGACAATAATAATAATAACAATAGGATGAAATATAAATAAATGATAAGATAAATGAAGCTGCAAAGAGCATATTAGCTATCTGAAGTCATAGATATCTACAGTCACAATAGGGGGAGGTATTCGACTCATAGTGACCCCCAAGTAGCGATAAGGCTGACTTCTGGAAAAAGTGTTGAAGATTGACCTGTAGGAATGTAGAAAAGGCGGGTACCATGGCCCCAGAAGGGCAAAAAACAGGGCTGTCCCTAGCAACATGGGGCGACGAACGTGAAAACTATAAAGGAACCAGTGCCAGGAAGTACGAGACCCTACTCTGCTGGATACAACCCCCTATCCCCCTGTCCCCCGCCATGATCCCTGGAACCATGGGGCGTGCGACGGGGCGTAGACTGGAGCGCTGCCAATCCGCTCTTTTTCCACCAATGATACCATCCTTTAATCGCAACGATTGACTGGAAATGCGGTGCTGACTGCGCTTCTATACCCGCCTCTTCACACGCCCCATAACTTGCAGAATTCGTGGCTATCTCTTCCTCCTGACCAATTTTTCCCGGAATTTTGAGGTAATGGGGGTACCCTCCATCAACAATCAGAAACTGTATTTCATGAAACCGCCATTTTTATGGACCGCCGTAAATATAACGCACTTCGGCTTAGTTCAACTTAGCTTAGTCGTGTGCACAGGACGTAAGTCGTGGTCACAAGGCGCACCTGATCACATGGCCGCTCCTCCCCCCGAAATGAACTGCAAGCAAAGAAGCGTAAACCACAATAAGCGTGAAAACGCCTTTCTTCTGGTATTATAACCGGGAGGTCTTTCCATTGGGGCAGAATATTGCAAAATACGACCCCCCCCCTCTGAATGTTCCCCGCCTGCTACGACCCTCCCCCTCCTCCACGCCTTCCCATCCACTTCCTAAGCCTGCCTCTTCCTGTAATTTTCCGGACATCGTACTCCTTTTCCCAAGAATTCCCAAACATCCCCTCACTTTTGCCCCAGAAGTTGCTGTCAAGCAGGTTAGAGGGGGAGGGGGAAGGAGAGGGCGAAAGGGCAGGATCTTTGGCGCACCTTGAAACAAGGAAAAAACCTGAGAAAAATCAACAATCGAGAACATTTTTCAATTGCGACCCTACCCGCTCCCTTCCTCCTCCCTCCGACAACCAAATACGACCCCTCTCGCTGGGGACACTTGTCATGAGATGGATTACAAGGCTATCTAAAGCCATTTAAGTAGATGATTATTAGAACAGCGAGCGCAAGAGTTTGGGGTTTGATCATTGAAGGAACTGGTTTTACAACCTGATTACAACGCCGGACGAAACTGAAACAGAATGGAGAAATGAAGCGAAAGGCACCATCTGGAGCCACCGCGATCGATGTGTTGTCGTGTTAGACAACCACGAAAAAACGGTCGACTATGCCAAGGCCGTTTACAATCACTGCGCCAGCAATTGCACTATCGTGTTGCACTTCGTTGCTGCATTTCCTGATTGTCGCAGGTCTCCTTAGGAGGGTTGCTAGGAAACAGTTTATGCAGAGGATTAATTCCTTGAAAGGAGAACAATCGAGTGTTCCCTTGAGAAGCCTTCGACAGAGCTCCCATAGCGAAAACTCTCTCCCCCCCCAACTGATAGGAACGAGGCCGCTTGTTATGAGTGGGATCTCCACTTTTGTGAGGAGACGCAACTTAATAGCACCAGGGTTCACTATAGTTGGTAGAAAGTAGAGGAATCCCACTGGAGGAATCCCACTGGGAGGTAGCAGTTGGTCAGTGGGTAGGGAGTCGTACTAACTTCACGAGTTTTAAAGTATTCCGTGCCATGAGGCGGTGATTGTGCAAGTAGCACCCTTCCAAAGTGCACGGTGTGGGAATTCCGGATCGGCTCCCACCTGAGCGGACGAAGCCTCCCAAGATTGGCCAAACTAGCACCAGGTTTGTCTGGAGGGATAAAAAACCTGTGAAACCCTGTCACGATATAATCAGGTTAACCAATCGTAAACTTCTTAGAGTTGCTTTTGATAGCTCATTGGAGAGGACTTCTTTGCTCCCCCCCCACTCAAGGTCGGTTCGGGAACTGTAGTGGTGCCGCTTTTAATTGAAACAGGTACTGTTCCGAGCAATGCCACTTGTAACCTTTTTTTGCCGCTAATATGCCACTTGAGCGTGTATCAATGAGTAGACGTCGAGAAGAGCGCACCTTGGAAGGGTTAGGGCAGTTCTGCGCGGTGATGTTTCAGAAAGCCTGAGCGCTGTCAAGCTCAGAATGTCTGGGCCTGCATGTAAAGATGGGAAAAGGGCGGCAATTGATAAGTCGATGGAGGAAAGCTCGTTGTCATTTCTAGCCGGTCGGTTCGAAAACGACCTATACATTGTAGTAAGCTAGCTGTGGCCATTCACAGAGGTAACATAGATCAACCCCCTCGATTGCTGAAAAAACCATGTTGTGTGGAAGACTGAAACACAAGTTCCCAAAGAACTATACATTTCAACCGGGCGTCCTCGTCAAGGAGTCACATTTGACCAGCCCAGAGGAATTGGAACTCAGTCTGGAATGGTATGCTAGTTTTGAGGAAAGGAAAAGAGAGACTGGAGAGGAAGTTTCACCCAGCCAAAGAGCCTTCGCAGGTAGGAAGTTCGTGCTGAACGGTCAGTTTTGTTCATCTCTCTCATGAGCTCTGATTTGCGCAACTCTGTAGCTCTGTTCGCAGGGGCCCTCGATGGAGTTGGTGTTGAGGTAGCAAGGTATAGCATGGTTGGGACAGTGCCATCAGGGGCGAGGGGGTCGTATTGAATCGGTTAGAGTTATATCTGGCCTCGATGAGAACTTTTTCAGGCCGTGCCGCAGTAAGATTGTCGGCGGCTTTTGGTTTTTTTTTCCAATTTTTCTCGTTCCTTGCCTGCCGTACAGTTGATATCGCCGCAATCGATCAGGGCGGTGTCAAGAGGCGCGTAGTGAGCCCACTCGCGGCGCAATCCCCACTACCCACTTGCCGTTTTCCTCGTAAAACGATAGCTAAACGATCATTGGGGGGGGGGTAGAAAGGGAGCCAGAAGCTGGATCATACCTGATGGCACCACATACTCGCTCGACTCCAGTATTTTCCTCTTGAAAAAAATCTATGGAAAACTGGAGAACTTGACAGGGAAATGGGATGATGGGGAAGATGGTAGGTAGGATGGAGAAAAGATATTGTGCCAGCCAGAGGAGGAACTCTTGGGGGGGGATGTTGACACTCACACATGCTGCACCCTCTATGCACGTACAGGATCTTCAACCAAAGGTCTTCTTTTGCTGTACGTCGGCGATTGCCCTCTAATTGATGTGGTTCTTATTTCTAATGGTAAAAAATGGAATGTCATTCTGTGAACCTCGATTAAACCCTTCAATGGCCAAAGATAACCTTGGGAAAGCAACAAAATCCTTGGAAGAGCCCTTCAAAGGGCGGCTGAATTAATTTTTTCTGTTCATCTCCCCCACTGGCCCCAATCTATTGCTATGATGGTAATACCCTCTTCCATGCATAGTAATTCTTTTGCTGCATTTTTGTTTACGTGGTTCCCATGGAGGTCGAGAGGTTGCCGTTGGCAGCACCACGTCGAGAAACATCTCGCTTCGCTTTGTTCTCCTCGCCGGAAAACTCCACCTAATTGCTCTTGCACTATGATTGTCCTCCATAACCTTGCTTCCACGGGTGGTCAATAGGGCCGGCTTTTAGCTGCTGATCATTCGGTTCGCTCTTTCGGATTACGCTTTGCGACTATGTCTCTGTGTAATACTTTCAACTGCTGTGCTCTCTTGAGCTTGTCATTGTCATCTACACTGTCAAATAGGCGTCAGCGTAGTGTGGGGAGGGGGGGGCAAGGGGGATCGTGAGGACCACTATTCAGCGCTTCTGTATGCGATCCTCTAATCAGAGCTTAGGCTTTGTGAAGAATGTTTTTTCTGGGGGACAAACCCTTGAGGACTCTGGTCTTCTGCGCGTAAGCCTAGATAAGCGTTTTTGGGGGAGGGATAGAAAAGCGCGGCCAGGTGTCCCCCCCCCCCTCCCCTTCCAATTACGTTAGCGCCGTAAAATATGCAGGAAGTGGTCTAGGAACTAATTGAAGATGTTTTAGAGTCGCTGGCATCGATACTAAAGGACAAGTATGGCATATGAAGAAGAGGAACGCTGTATTTGCCAGATCTGCAAATGCGGGTAGGAGAATCCTTACATTCTATAAAGCAGAAACTGTGTGTCGGTTTGTCGGTATGTATGTATGTATGTCGGTTTGTATGTCTGTCCGTCCGCAAAATGCTTCACGGGATTAAACAGGTTAGTGAAAGAAGAAAACGACCGCTAGCCAAACCGGGATTCGATCGGTGCAGATGTATCAATCCAATGTTTTGATTGTGATAACAGCATATATAAGACAACCATTCGGTACGCTCCGAGCCATTGCACGAGCTGCTCGGGTGGCAGCTGGACGTGAGCTCGTGCGGGGGCAGGGTGGGGTGAAGCCGGGGAGAGGGGGGGGCACCGAGTGACCCCTCCCCTCTGCTTCCTTCCCCTGCACGTGCTCAGTCGGACCTGAGCATG